AAGGCAATTTTGGATAGAGTGTGGAAAGGTTAGCCCCTGTGCAAAGTTTCTATTGCTGTGTGTGTCCCTACTGGATAGATTCACCCCTTTATTTGTCACAGTAAGATTGTCACAGTCAGATTTTTTTATTATGGCACAAAGTAAGTGGAATTCCCCTTACTTTGGGGAGATTTTCTCTTACTTCCTGTTGCATCTTCAAGACAGGAAGTAAAGGACAATCTCCTCAGCAGGACACAGACATCTAAAAATAACTTGACAGGGGCTTCAAACCTTCCCTACTCTAGAAAACGATAAAGAAAAGCTTTGCCTATACATAAACATTAACCTCTATTCAGCTGAATACCTAGGGGGTGATTTATAAATCATCCCCCAGCCGTATGCTGGGGTATAGCCATTCGCATGGCATTCCCGCCACTAGATGGAGACGATGAGCATAGGATTTTTCATGCAAACAGTGTTTGCCCAACATACGGATTTATACATCCTCTTATCTTTCCTCTGCACGTAACCTCTGTACTAAGGCCCCATTTACATGTGGCTTAAGGGGATCTTGCCACAGGAACCCCAGGAATGTCTGTACAAATGTGACCTCTGTACCCATTCAAATGAATGACAGGATGACACCAGCCGCATCTGTCTGTGGATGTCCACATGTAATTGTACATGGAATGATAACCTGTGGTTTGGGATAAATTATCCACAGGTACGATTACATGTGGACAGCCACTAACAGATGTGGCTGCTGTCAGCCTGTCATTCCCTTGAACGGTCACATCGTCCGCATCTGTATGGACCCACCTAGGATTTCTGCGGCAAGAATCCGTAGACTCTTCCATGGGAATCCTGAGCCGCAGCTCTAGCCCCATGTGAATGTAGCTTAATAGGATCCAGTAGCTAGAGCCTGAGGCTAGAAAAAACTGCTTATTAATAATAATAATAATAACAATATTAACACCAGCATACCAGAAATATAATCAGATTTCAATGTTTACACCCATGGAGAATGAAAATAGTTTCTAACCCTCAATCTTAAAATCTAGACATCTTATGTAATATATAAAAACAATTTAATTGAAATATCATATTTCACTTTTATTTTTGCATTACTTACATTTTTAAAAATGACTTGCAGGTTTTTGTTTTTTTTATAAATAATGACAGATTACTGGCTGCTGTTATCAAGGCCAGAAGCAATGTACAAATTTTAATATCACATAACTAGTCAGAAATCATCTTTCATTATTCTGAAGCTGTATACTGCTGACTAGGGATGATCCAAACACCCCCCGTGTTCGGTTCTAATTTGAACTTTCGAACACGGAAAAAGTTCTAATTCGAACTTAGAACTCAATGTAAGTCTATGGGGGTAGAACTCAGAAAATTAAATGTCCCCATTTGAAAGTCTTATATGCAATTTATTGGCCATAAAAAGTGTATGGGGATCCGGGTAGTGCCCTGAATGACAGGAATCAATTAAATAAAAAAAAAAAAACGTTTTTAAAGCAACAGGAACATTTTGATATCCCTACTGCTAACAGCTCAAATTTGGCCCTGTGTATAACGGCACATGGTTGTTCTTTGCACTACAGGATTGTTCAATAATTAGACAATCTATGTGTTTATTCAATGAGAAGGCACAAAAAGTAATGAAATATACCCAAAAAGCCATTTAGCAATTATTTCTTAAAAAGTATTTTTTTTAAAGTTTTGGGTGGTGCTCATCTTTTAGGTTTTTATTGATGTTTGTGGCTCAGTTAGGAGCTTTGCTGTTCGGCTATTCACTTCTGGCTTGTAGGGCTGATTTCAGCCGTTCATCGGCTAAAATCAGCAGTACATTGGCTACCTTCGGTCAGAAGGTGCAGAAGGACTTCAACTTAGCCGATCCAACATCTGGATCAGCTGAGCCGAAGCTCTGGCAGCTCACTCGCTGCCGTACGGCAGTGAGTGAATAGCCGGCATTCGGCTCAGCTATTCTGCTCGGTGGTACCGAGCAGAATAGAAAATAAGTGCAGAAAATGTGAAAAATAAATCAATTGGAAAATTATTTAAAAAATGATAAAAAATAGGAAGATAAAACAAATATATTTTAAAGAAAAGAAAAATAAATAACAGAAAAAAAAACGTTTCATATTGGCCGACACCTGCCAGAGTCTTATTGCTTAAAGGAGAACTATGAGGTGAGTGGTTTTCACTCACCTCATAGTTCTAGCCGACCTGTGACAATGAGACTGTCACAGGTCGGCTCAGTAGATCGGGAGGTGAGCGAACACATACCGGGTTCGCTCACCTCTCGATCCTGTCACGGCTCTCTGCCGTGACAACAGATCAGTGTCCCCAGGTCATTTGGGGACACTGAACTGTCATTACAACTGGGCAGAGCAAGCTGTGAGATCACGGCTGGCTCTGCCCAGCTGTCATTTGCGGGGCGAACGGCTGGCCTTCGGCTGTCACTTCTGTCAATTCATATTATGAATAGCCGTACAGCTGCCCTTCGGTTCAACTGAACCGAAGGGCTCCGGTGGCCGAAGAGAGCCGAAGGATCAGCCGAAACTATGGCTGTATCCTTCGGCTTAATAGTGAATAACCCCCCTAGTCTGTACTAGAAAATCTTTTAAGGTGTGTACAAAAATCTGGACAGTTGCTCTGCTCAGTGTTACTACACTGTATGCATCTATGTTGCTTTTTGCATTCTTTTATTGCTTAAACTTGTCTGTCTTTTTAACGGTGCGGCATGCTTTAGATCTTCATAGTTGAATATTGTTCTTCCCAAAGAGAACTGAATGCAGCACTCTTTTATTAACCATCAGCTAAAGTGCAAAGCCAATATTAGAACAACAGTACATTCATCTAGACCATTGACTCTTGTTTGTAGTGCACTACACTGAAACTATTGTTCAAGTCTGAATATTGTGTATCATTGTCACAGGATGCACACTTCCCCATTATCCACATGAGTTTATTGTTCAGAGCTTTTACAACCAGCAGAATATAATGTTCGCAGTGTTTATTTGCCTGTTTCTTTACACCAGTGCTCTCTACATTCACGTATGTTTTCATGGTCTCCCTTTAAATAGACTAAAATATGACTAAAAACCTTGAACTGATATCATTGTTTTTACATGGGTCCTTAACCCCTTCATGACTGAGGCCCTTTTTTCAATATAAAAATAAAATATAAGCCATATGTTAACATTTAAATGGTAAAAATGATTGCCACAAAGGTTAGTGCAACTTTTTGCCATTTAGGACAAAGAAGGCTAGGTAGAAACTGAGAGATTTTTTTTATAATTTTGATAAAATGTGAATATTTTACATATTTAACATATGCTTTAACATAAATAGCCTAAGAAACACAAACACCGGAAGTACAGTGCTTTGCTGCTACCATGCTCATTTGGCTGCTTCTCTTTTAAGATAAGTGGTGCTCTGTTTCGGTGATTAATGCATATTTAATTAATCCTAACTATTAAAACGAACCTATGCCCAACTATAAATATTACACTATGTAAACAGTCTTTCTAGGATGAATGAAATAAAAAAAAGATTAACAGAAGGGCTGAGGTAGTTACCTTTCTGAAGAACATGTTGCTCCCAGCTCATTTCAGTGCTGGCCACTGTAACCATTTGGTCATGGGATTTCTGCTCATGAGGAAGACCAGAGTTTACATTAGATTAGTTTATCTTCCTCTTCACATCCTGAGCAAATGGCTAGGCTTTTGTTAATGTGAGCAGTATGTTTTTAAGAAAGTATTTGAAGCCTTTACTATGCCATTCAGTGGTGTATCTAAAGCCATGGTTCATGCACCTGCTATGAGGCCTAGTGTAGGGGGCAGTAAGGAGACAAATTAAACTTAGAAAATCTGTACGCATGTGAAAATAACACAGATCCAGTGTTGTATCATCAAGGGTTGGAGTTAATTCCAATTCCCCTGTGATGTCTCCACTCAAGAAGAGTTGATGTCAAACACATAGGAGGAGTCTTCAGTTATTCCTACTAGCAAACAGTATTTTTGGGCCCCTTTAAATGTTGTTGGGTGTCATAGCAGTACAGCTCAATCCTTCTCCAAAACTGGTCCCTAGTCCTGCTACCTGTCCTTGATTTAGACCTACTTTATGTTAACATCTATGAAGTATTGTCACAGTTGGCACTGTCAGGTGCCACAAAGAGAGGTTGCTTGGTTTACCGCTGCCAATACAAGTTGCGCCTTGTCCCCCTTACGCCCCCAACAGGTGCTGACTGACATCTAAGCATATATGTAATATTAAAATCAAGAGAATCACTGATTTATCATTTATTTATTCTGTAGAATATTTCCTTGTGAATCTGTCTGTCACGTTATTTAGGAATCCAGACGATCACAACTCATGAATCATAGGATTCTCTATTGACTAGACACACTGTATTAATATAAATGAAAATCTATGAGTACCATTAACCTGATGCTGGGCACACAGTATGTTACTAGAAGTTAATCTGTTAGTGTTTCTAGGAAATTATACTAGTTGGCTAGAGCAATTTGTTATTTTCTACACTCCCCAGTTTGTCATCTCAGAATAGATTTCTTTTACATCATTACCAGCGAATGTTCCTTGCTACTGAACATGAAACACAGTTCCAAGGAAGGCTGGAAGACAAACTGAGAGGCACAGATTGTACCTAATCACTAAATAACTGACTTATATAACTAGAGTTAAAGCAGTATAGTGACAGCAAAATGTGGATTAGATAGATGGAAGATATTTGAGTCTCCTGATGATGATGTGCTGCCCATTAAGTTGAGAAGTAGGCATGTTTTCTGAACTTTTATTCACTCAGGTGTAAGATTTCAACGTTAAACTACAAAAAATTACAATTGGAATCTGATTGACTGTTTTAAAATCTAAACAAAAAAAAATACAGTGGAAACCTGATTGTCGGTTTTTACTTAAAAGTATTTTCTTAAAGCTGAACTCAAGGCAAACAGCTATATTACACAGATACAATTCATATATCAGAGCTGTATTACCCACCAAAGGATTTGTATTTCTGTCCATCCAGGCCTGAGATTTCTCTGCTGCAATTTCACTTTCACTTACAGGTCTCCTCCCAGACCCTAGTCTGTAACTCTGTCACTCAGCTCTCTCCCCTATAAGCACGCTCCAATGTTTCTTGCACCTCAGCACACCTGATTGACTAAATAAGGAACTACAAGAGGCTGATACCAAGCCTAATTCAGGTGCTTACACTGTACAATACATTTCATGATGTTTTACTGATTAAAGAGCCGCATTAATTTGTACCTTTCATATCTGCCTAGAATTCAGCTTTTCAGATTTAGAGCATTGCATGCTGGAGGGGGGGGGGGGTTGAATTTGACAAAGGCCCAAAGCATGTAGTCATTCAAAGGAGGGATGGCATAAGGGTTGATTCTTCCTGGCTTGAAAATTCACTCTACCATTTGCATTTTTCATTAGCTTTGGAGAGCAATACATTCTGATGAGCCAAAATAACCTTCCCCAATAAATAATTTGTTTATATTTGTGCTCAATGACTCACTGTTTACTTATTACAAAGCTGCTAAATTCCCCTGTGTCCTCCTCCTTCAGCGCTGCTTCCCCAAATTGCCTGTGGGGGAGAGACCACACTGGTGACATTGCACAGGTCTGGTCCAATAGGATGGCAGAGTCTCCAGCTCCTGTCAATTAGGATGAAGGCAGAAGGAGGGGGGATAAGGGGAATGGCTTGCCATCCCTAGGGTCCAGTGTTGTGTGTTTGTGCTGAAACACACAATGCAGGGACTGTAAGCCGGGAGAGCGCACACTAAGGTGGCTCCATAGGACTCTGAAAGGCAATGGAGCCTCCCTAAAACAGGAAACCCACAGCAGTGATCTTGTGACTGATTTAATCAAGAAGACATGCAAGATGTCAAATAAGATAAAGCAACAGATCAGGCAAGTGCTGATGTCAGTTGCTGTAATAGTTAATATAATTTTAGGGTTTAATAACACTTTAAAGCTGGGCATAGCAGTCATGCTCTGCTATGTATTTCATCCATTCCTAATGGGTATTGAATTCATAGTGAATTTCAGCTAATGCACTTCAACACATTTTAAGCATTTTTATCAACATTTACCATACATTTTACAACATCCTGTTGTCCACAAATACAGTGTATATAATCAAGTTTTTTCATACACGTAGAGGTTCATGTTTTAATCAAAAAAACTTTCTTTTTTTGAAGACTGACATATTTCCAAACCTACTGTAAGTATGATTATTTCTGGTAAATTCATTTTATTAATTACATTGATTTCCCTGTGTTTTACAGGATAGTCAGGAACATAAGATTGTCCTATATGAAAACCCAAGCTTTACTGGGAAGAAGATTGAAATAATTGACGATGATGTCCCAAGTTTCCATGCTCACGGCTATCAAGAAAAAGTATCTTCCGTGAGAGTACAAAGTGGAACGTGAGTATATACCAGTATTTATTGAGGTGTCCAATAAGAATGGTTTGCATTGCCCACCGCTACCAACCTGATTCAAATGTAAGCAATGAAAACTGCTGTACTTTAACACACAAAATTAAATGAGGCCACTTGCAATCATTTTACACAGTCATACAGAAATTAAAATTAAAGGATTTTTTTTATTGAAAGCACTTCAAAACAGAGGGGAAATATCTGATCCTCACAGCTGTTTAAATGCTACAGTCAACATATGTCATACATTAGGCCTTGGGGGAACGTCTGAATATTGCTGATAAGTCTTTAGCTCTTAATGGTTGGATGGAGGGCAGGAAAGATCATAAAGCAGAACAGATCATGTTCTCTGTACCCATTTAAAATAATTGGTGAAACAGAATAATGGAAAGGGAAAGAATGAGTTTTAAGACGTAAATATTTGTGTCATCGGCAAAGATTGCGAGACATTACAGACATTACGTTTACTGCTGAGAGTTTCAGATTATGTATCAGCTGCCAAGAAAGTAATAGACTTTTCACCTATGGACTGTATGTGCTATACTCACATCATGATATCACCCATGCAGCCAACTCCTAACATCACATCTCAGTCCTCAGTAACAGATAGCTTATCGTCAAACTCTCTTTCGCAGAGTAAAACCATAATGAAAAGCTCTTCTTCTTTAAAAGGGTCTATGCAGCTTAAGGAGACCTTGTTCCCACATCATTAAAAAAAATCCTCCCTTAAATCGGACCTTTACCCTGTTTTACGAAAAATCACATCAGCATGCAGCTCTGCATACTGATTTAAAATCATCTTACATTCATTAGTTAAACAAACTTGTTTTATAATTTACTTACAAATAGAGTTCATCTACTTTCTGATACACTTCTGGCACAAATGTTGTAAGTGCCAAAGCATTGCATCTTGTGAAGGTTACATCAGTATTACAGATGAGATATGGAAAATCTCATCTGTAATCTAGCAAGAGCTCAGGGAAAGGCATTTTCCACCCCTGAGACGATGTGCATGGTCACATGCAGAGGCGGCTCTTTAATTAGGCAAATTAGGCGGTCGCCTTAGGCCTCGCGCTCCCGAGGGCCTCGCGGCAGCCTAGTTTGCCCTGTCAGGACGGCAGCCAGGTAGCGTTGTCAGCTCTCATCCACGTAGCTGTCAAACTGAGACTCTCAGTTTGACAGTGACATGGCTGAGAGCTCATCCATTACCTTGATCGTTGGTGCGGATCATCGGCTCGTCTTCTGCACAGAGCTCCGCCCACCAGCCAATAAGAAGAGACCTCGCCCCTCCCATCCACCACACGAGGAACTCTGGCTGGGAGGGCGGAGTTTAACTGCAGAAGCTGATGGAGACGCCCACAAGACACGGCCAGCACAGCACACACAGTACTGGAGAGCCTTGTGGAAAGCAGGTGAGAGCCCTGTGGAGAGCCCTGGTTTACACAGAACCCTGCTACCCTGTGAGGCCCCCTCAGAGCCCTGGTGAGACCGCACAGATCCCTGGTCTGTGGGGTCTCACCAGGGCCCTGAAGGGGTCTAACCAGGCTGGTGAGACCCCAGAGAACCTTACTACCCTGGTGAGGCCCCCTCAGAGCCCTGGGGAGACCCCACAGAACCCTGCTACCCTGGTGAGGCCCCCTCAGAGCCCTGGGGAGACCCCACAGAACCCTGCTACCCTGGTGAGGCCCCCTCAGAGCCCTGGGGAGACCCCACAGAACCCTGCTACCCTGGTGAGGCCCCCTCAGAGCCCTGGGGAGACCCCACAGAACCCTGCTACCCTGGTGAGGCCCCCTCAGAGCCCTGGGGAGACCCCACAGAACCCTGCTACCCTGGTGAGGCCCCCTCAGAGCCCTGGGGAGACCCCACAGAACCCTGCTACCCTGGTGAGGCCCCCTCAGAGCCCTGGGGAGACCCCACAGAACCCTGCTACCCTGGTGAGGCCCCCTCAGAGCCCTGGGGAGACCCCACAGAACCCTGCTACCCTGGTGAGGCCCCCTCAGAGCCCTGGGGAGACCCCACAGAACCCTGCTACCCTGGTGAGGCCCCCTCAGAGCCCTGGGGAGACCCCACAGAACCCTGCTACCCTGGTGAGGCCCCCTCAGAGCCCTGGGGAGACCCCACAGAACCCTGCTACCCTGGTGAGGCCCCCTCAGAGCCCTGGGGAGACCCCACAGAACCCTGCTACCCTGGTGAGGCCCCCTCAGAGCCCTGGGGAGACCCCACAGAACCCTGCTACCCTGGTGAGGCCCCCTCAGAGCCCTGGGGAGACCCCACAGAACCCTGCTACCCTGGTGAGGCCCCCTCAGAGCCCTGGGGAGACCCCACAGAACCCTGCTACCCTGGTGAGGCCCCCTCAGAGCCCTGGGGAGACCCCACAGAACCCTGCTACCCTGGTGAGGCCCCCTCAGAGCCCTGGGGAGACCCCACAGAACCCTGCTACCCTGGTGAGGCCCCCTCAGAGCCCTGGGGAGACCCCACAGAACCCTGCTACCCTGGTGAGGCCCCCTCAGAGCCCTGGGGAGACCCCACAGAACCCTGCTACCCTGGTGAGGCCCCCTCAGAGCCCTGGGGAGACCCCACAGAACCCTGCTACCCTGGTGAGGCCCCCTCAGAGCCCTGGGGAGACCCCACAGAACCCTGCTACCCTGGTGAGGCCCCCTCAGAGCCCTGGGGAGACCCCACAGAACCCTGCTACCCTGGTGAGGCCCCCTCAGAGCCCTGGGGAGACCCCACAGAACCCTGCTACCCTGGTGAGGCCCCCTCAGAGCCCTGGGGAGACCCCACAGAACCCTGCTACCCTGGTGAGGCCCCCTCAGAGCCCTGGGGAGACCCCACAGAACCCTGCTACCCTGGTGAGGCCCCCTCAGAGCCCTGGGGAGACCCCACAGAACCCTGCTACCCTGGTGAGGCCCCCTCAGAGCCCTGGGGAGACCCCACAGAACCCTGCTACCCTGGTGAGGCCCCCTCAGAGCCCTGGGGAGACCCCACAGAACCCTGCTACCCTGGTGAGGCCCCCTCAGAGCCCTGGTTTAACCAGGGCTTTGTATGGTCTCACCAGGGCCCTGAAGGGGTCTAACCAGGCTGTTGAGACCCCGCAGAGCACCGTTGAGACCCTATGGAGCCCTGGTGCTGGTGAGACCCTATCTCGCCCTGGTGAGACCAGACAGAGCCCTGGTGAGACCCCACAGAGCCCTGGTGAGGCCCTGGTGCTGGTTTTATCAGTGCTTCTTGAGGTCTCACTAGGGCTCTTTGGGGGTCTCACCAGGGCTCTGTGGGGTTTCACCAGCCCTGGTTTAACCCCACAGAACCATGTTGGGACCCTACCCTGGTGGGCTCTTTGGGATTTGACCAGGGCTCTGTGGGGTCTAACCAAGCTGGTTAGACCCCACAGAGCCCTGGCGAGACCCCAGAGAGCCCTAGTGAGACCCGACAGAGCCCTGATTAAATCAGGGCTTTGTAGGGTCTCCCCACGGCTCTGTGGGGTTTCACCAAGACTGGTGAGACCCCCACAAGGCCCTAGTTTAACCAGGGCTCTTTGGGGTCTCACCAGGGCACTGAGGGGTCTAACCAGACTGGTGAAACCGCACAGCCCTGGTAAAACCCTACAGAGCCCTAATTTATTCAGGGCTCTGTGGGGTCTCACCAGGGCACTGAGGGGTCTAACCAGACTGGTGAAACCGCACAGAGCCCTGGTAAAACCCTACAGAGCCCTAATTTATTCAGGGATCTGTGGGGTTTCCCCAGGGCTCTGCGGGGTCTTACCAGCCTGGTTAAACCCCACAGAGCCCTGGTAAGACCCCACAGGCCTGAGTGGGGCCTCATGGTTAGGTTTTGCCTAAGGCCTCGCAAGCTCTAGAGCCGCCTCTGGTCACATGTTCTAGTCACATGTGCCAGAGTTCCATGGAGATCTAGTAGTCTGCCCATTGTCAGAAGACTGGGGAAGACAAGAGAAATAAGGTATGCAAAGAATACAAAACCTGCAATTATCTAGAAGTATGTGTTTGTAGATTGTCATTACTAAATATTTCTACAGGTGTGTTCGATGTTATTTTAAATATATGGGTAAAGGTCCGCTTTAAGTATATTTATGCATTTAACATTTGTTTTGCATTTTCTTTACCCATAAAACCCTCCCTTGTGTAAACATTCAAAAGCCTTAAGACTGCTGCTGGGTGCTGCCATCTTGGATTTACACACTCCCAAAAGAAGAGGGGAGTGTACTAGGGAACTGACTAGTCAATTTTTTAGTTAGTTCAAACGCACATGGCAAGTGCATGAAAACATTTATGGAAAGGAAAACTACTGCACGTAAGCATTAAAATACTTTATTTTTCTGTACTTTTACCTTCAATTTTTCAAGTAGGTGATAGGGTCTCTTTATGTGGATTCTTTTTTTTTATATTACACCTTATCTTAAAGTGGACCTTTACCCCCTTTCACTAAAAATCACATTAGCATGCAGCTCTGCATGCTGATAAAAAAACATCTTACATTCATTAGTTTACCAAACATATTTTCTTTTGCTTACAATAATTGTTCCTCTTGGGCATTAGTGATGTAATGTCCCCAAGCATTGCATCCTGGGAAGGTTATATCAGCAGTGCATTGCTGGGAAATCTCATCTGTGATCTCAGAAGTTCTCAGGGAAAGGCATTTTCCTACCCTGAGCCATGGTCATGTCCTAGTCACATGTGCCAGAGTTCCAGGAAGTAAAGGGAGAGTTAGTAATAATATAATATATAAAGCCTACAATTGTATACAAGTATCTATTTATAGATTGCCATTACTAAACATTTTTAAAGGTGTATTTGTTGTTATTTAAAAGATATGGGTAAAGTTCCTCTTTAAGATAATTGGTCCATTGATAGACGCTGGACAACCACTAGCTTTTGAAGCTGGCAAACGAATGTCTTTGGATAACAAAAGGCAAGTATAGAGAGTGAATTCAATGAGCCAAGTACATGGGACTTTAATTGTCATAAACATGACTACAGTATATAAGGTACTAGCAGATTGTGAAAAAATATGCAATTTCTTCACACACTTGAAACCATTTGGACATACAACGGCCATTTTTCTAGCTTCTGAAAAGAAGCTGTGCTTAAAACCCATCTCTGGGCAAATTTTGTCCCCAGTCCTATCCCTCCTCCTTTCCGCCCTTCTCCTGCCTATTCACAGCTTTTTTTGAAACCAAAATTTTTTTCTAAACCTGTCTTTTACTTACCGAAGTTTACTGTCTATGCCCCTTGCTGGTTCTTCTTTCGCTTGTGCAAAATTGTGATCCAGCGCTGCAGTCTGTTCCCTCACCAAAGTTCCCCTCTTGACTCTGAGATAACCACTGGACAGCCAATAGGAAGTGTCAACGACACCCAGGCAGGGATGTTGACATCCAAAGAAGGACCTTTCTCCTCCAAACTCTAGAAATTAAATACCCGAGTGGAGAAGGCCTAACTATACCCGTCTAAAACAAGTGGCTGCAGTTTAAATTTTAGAAAATAGTACATTAGCTCTGAAGGGACCACCCACTGTAATGTTTTCTACCAACTAGATAACATAGATTATCCAAATAAATTAAATCTAAACTAGTTGCATATGATTTGTCAAGTGACTGCATTACGTCTTGCTGTGTGTAGTCAGCTTGATGTCAAATCAGCCCCTTGTGTTTAGTCTTTGTATATATTTTTTTTTTTTACAAACTGCCAAGGTATGCCATGTTTACTACTTCACTTAAAGCAAAACTAAACCCACCAATTAAATAATAAAATTAAGATATATTATATGTTTAATAATGAGCTAGCTCAATTTTTAATTATTTACCTTTAAATGCTTTTAAAATTTTGGTTTCTCCTGTTTAATAACTTCCTGCCAGAGGGTGGCTACTTTTCTTCTCCATGTTCTAAAAAGCAGCCATCCTCTGTGCTTGCTCCCTCTGAGAAAGACGTGAGGGCACTTTATTCATGAAGCATTCTCACATCTCCTCTGCTGACTCCTCTTGTCTCCTTCTTCAAATACAGGGGTACAAGTACTCCTAAAAACGAGATGACTCGGGGAGCTTTACACACACACACACACACACAATAGGTTGGACTTGATGGACATGTGTCTTTATTCAACCTCAAATACTATGTAACTATGTAACTATGTAAATCCCTCTCATCTACATTGTGCCCTCTGTGGGAGGCGCATGTGTCAGCACCTGTTAGGAAGCAGTGGTGCACTCCTAAGAGTGGGTAGGGAGGTACAGTGAGGAGGAGGGAAGGGGAAGGAACCGGTCTGTTAATAGATGCGTGCGCAATGAGAGCACTGTGCACCATGCCTTAAGGGAGATGTATTGAGGGAGTGCGGCGTGCTCTCACAGAAATATTGTGCACTGCTGGAGGAGAGAGACCAGAAGTCAAAGAAGAACAGAGGAGTGGCGGGAGCATGCCCAATACTTTTCTAACAAAAAATAAGGTAATATTTAAATCTGAAAATAGAAATAAAAGCGGGATTATGTTAAGGGATATAGGGAGAGCACTTTAAAGACAAAAAATGTATTACTTTTGTGTCACTTTAATGTTGACCACAGTGGCGGATCAAGGGGAGGGGGTCAATGGGGCAATTGTTGTCACTGACACAGACTTTACTGCGGTTCATTGTAAAAAAAAAACGGCACACTACTTGCAGTAGTGTGCTGTTTTTTTACAATGAACGGCAGTAAACTCTTTGACAGTGGCAGCTACAGGTGGCTGTGTAAATGCCTGTGTTTAACCTGGCGGAGTTTGTGCAGACTCTGCAGGCACCACCAGGCAACCACATCCTGCTGTTTGGGTCATTTTGAGGACCCTCTCCTGCGCTCCCTCCCCTCCACTGGCCGCCAAGGACTCAGGAGAAAAATGTCCTGCATGAGTTAGGTTAGGCTGGGGAGTCTATGGGTGATGGCTAGTCCAGATGGGAGGTGGGGGGGATTCAGTGACTGCTGGTATTCAGTATTGCTGACTTGGTGTATAAAGTATAGCTGGTGGTATTCTTCATTCCTATATAATGATTATACAGCAATGCAGAATGCCACCAGCTATGCAGGTCTAAAAATTCCAGTACTACATTATACAAAGAGGGGTAGCGATGAAAAAACTTAAAGGAGCAGATGGAACGCAATTCTTACAGTGAAAACAGTGGTTTTCGTTAAGGAAACTCCATTCATTCCAAAACAGAATGTTAAAATTAGGGATGCACCGATACTTTTCGAGTACCAATGCCGATACTTGCCATTTTCAAGAACTACCAGGGTTACAGCGGTTGCAGCTGGGACCTGGCTCTGGCGCTCCACCACTGTCCTGAAATCATTAGTCGATATTATTTAAGAAAAACTGTCACATGACAATAAACAAAACTGTATCAGTACTTGTACTTGTAAGTACTTGGACAAGTATCAGTACTTATACTCGCAAAAATGGTATCGGTGCATCCCTTTATATATTTATAAAAACAAAATCATACATTAAAACAGAGATGTACAAATCCCAGGAGCTCCGTGTGCTCCTTACAAATGACAGCTGCCTCCTAACTTTTTAGTTTTTCTCTAGTCTAGTCTTGGAGCTCGAAAAGTATCTGTACTTGTACTTGTACCGAGTAAGGTACTTGGTATTGGTGCATCCCTAGTTAAAATCAAACAACATTTCATCTGACTTTCATCAAAGTGGCATTATCGGGTGGTAAAGAAAGATCTTTCGTACAAATGTTTGTTTGTAAATTTACTAGTGTATGGCGAGCTTTACAGTCTTCTTCTTAATGATCACTGTAACAGCTTGAGACAGTGGTCTTTCATAGACACAATGTAACACTTTCATGATATTATAATTAGTTGCTGTTACTTGCAGATAACAGGTTATTTGTAACTTCAGCTATAGATATAGGAAAAAACATGTTTTTTTTATTTAACCACTTAAAGGCCATGGTGTTTCAACCCCTTCCTGGCCAGGCCATTTTTCAGTATTCAGCGCTGCGGTACTTTGACTGATGTTTATTCCGTCATGCAACGCTGAGTCTTTCATATTTAGCCTCTGCTTTTTTCACAAGTTAACACTACTGTAGTTAACCCTAATTGTTTAATTTCCCTTCTTTCTGTAGCTATTTTTTTAAATGAGCTTATGTGCATTTTTTTAACCATGTGTATGCTAATATATTTAAACATTTTTCTTTGTAGCAACATCTTTAAAAAATACACAAAAGTTTAAAAATATATTTTATTTCTTTTGAAAATACCCACCCCATGCTTTGCTTTAGGCCTGGTTCACACCTGGGCGTTTTACAGCGCGTTCCTACGCTCTGTAAAAGGCTCAGCATGTGAAAACCAATGATTGCCTATGGGCATGGTTCCCACCTGGGCGTTTTACAGCGCGTAGGAACGCGCTGCAAAACGCCATGCGCCCAAAGAAGTACAGGAGCTTCTTTGGGGCGTATTTGCCGTGTGTATCCATTGGGATACAGCCAGGTAGCCCTTGGAAACTCGCGTTTGTTGCACGTTTTTTTACCGCGAATCGCGGTAAAAACACCTGGCACGAAACGCGCAACAAACACGCATATTCGATACGCCTAGGTGTGAACCCAGCCTTAAAGTTAGCATTAGTTAAGGTAGTATTACAGTCTCCTTTTTTGCATATATCTACTGCTAGGAAACTGTAGATACATGCAAAAACATTAAAAAAAATTAAAAAGTTACCAAAAATGTAATAACTTATCTGTGTCTCCGCCACTCACTCCCGTCTGGAGATCTGAAGCTTCTTGAGCAGCCATGCAGGATGATGGGACGGGCGCATGTGCAGTAGAGATCTTCGGCAGGGAGAGACACAGTGGAACTGAATGCACGCAGCCAGGAGCGTGCACATCGGACAGACACCATGGGACAGGAAGAGACAGGAGTCTGCTCTGGTTCAGACACCGCCATCAGCGCTGGAGGGATTGCTGAATACAAGTGGAAGGAAGAAGATGATCGAATCAAGAAGCATCATTTAAGGTAAGTCCTTAAAGCAGCATGGGGGAGGAATACATTTGTGACTTTAATGTCACTTTAAATTGGAAAAAAAATTCCAATTTTATTTTCATTTTTCGGAAGTTAAATAATTCTTTGAAGACAATACTACTAAAATGAAGTCTTGTTAGCTTAAAAGCAAACAGCATTTTTTTAAATCTCTCTTGCTCTTCCTTCTCCCCTTTCTTTTCCTTGCCTCATCCCCCACTTCTGATTTTCCCTTTCCTCTTTAAAGTGGTTCCTCCTTGAACTACTTTAGATAGAGGAAATCACTACTTGCATGAATTTAGGTTCTTAAAGCTGCACATACACTACCAAGTAACTGACTGCAACCAGTTGGAATCCATATTGGTTTATTTCCTTAACACATATTTTTTTTGTGTGTTCACCTGTGTGTTTTGTACAACTGTTTGAAATGCACATGATCACTGAACCTGGATACTATTTTGCCACTGTACTCTCTGATAAATAAAGAATTAAGAAAAAATATAAACAGCAAACTCAAATCCTGTCTTAAACAATGTTTGTGTGTACATTTATTTTTATTAATATGGTACTGTTTGCTTCCAGGTGGGTTGGCTATCAATACCCAGGTTACAGAGGATACCAGTACCTGTTTGAGAAGGGGGATTATAAGGACAGCTCAGATTTTGGCGCCCAGCACCCCCAGATCCAGTCTGTGAGGCGCATCCGTGATATGCAGTGGCACCAGAGGGGAACCTTCCACCCTACCAACTAAAAGAAACACTTCCTATATCTCTCATGCCAGTGCAGAGAAAAGGCTTTTACGTGATCTGCTGCTGTTTTTCCTGTGGCATGGTTATCCCGCATGCCACTGTGTGACTAAACCTGCTGAAACAATTTAATAAAAGCTTTGAGTTTCAAACTCCTGGTGACTCCGGGCACTTTCTGTGTAAAATAATAACTGTAAAAAAAAATGTCATCTAATAGATATGACAAGAACAACTTGCATATACAGTGTTTGGTGGGATTGTCCCTTACAGTGCACCTACACTTTTAGAGCCTATTTATATCTATGTGCTCATGTTTATTGTGTCGATGTGCCTTGTAGTACCTGTACCTCCTCATTACCTTTAGGTCCTCTACAAGTGTCCATGCTAAACCCTTATCTGGCCCTTTTTTTGCATTGTATGCATTGTTGTGGGTTAGAGGGCCAGTTGCATTTCCTATTGTGTATATGTCCATTAGAGATTTATGGGAGCACCCCTAAATCGCATGCAGAATAGGTTTGTCCATTGCGCATAATAATGCATATAAATATCTGTGGTAATCCTTGTGCATAAATAGAATTCAACTTGACAATTTTTCTTCAGTCATGATGGATTTAGGAATTGTAATATATACTTTTTCTTTCCCCAATCATGCAGAGATTATCCTTCAAAGCAGCAAATTTTCCAGCGGATCTATGCTGTCTAAGCTGTGCCCCCAAAAAAGTCAAGCAGAGGGCAAAGAGCTAGTCACCAGTAATGCTCGTTGGCTTTCTATGGCTGATCTTTTTCCTAGGAATTATTTTCTTGCCTTGCCTTGTTTTGCACTGTGTGGTACCTACCCTCTTGGTAGAGAAGCAGGGTTCTGCTTCCTCATGTCAGATCTTCCCCTGATGACTGGTGCTCTTATGAACTGATGAATGATGTACTGATGACTGACCAAACACAGTCCAAACCTGAGCTCCATTGAACCCGGAAGGGATATGAGGCCGCCCTATTAATGCTTGTGCTTACATCATTGACTTTATATGGCCACAAAGTCATACTTGGTCAACATGATTGAGCAAATATAGCCATGTGGCCACATAAGATCAAGTATATCACATCTTTTTGCCCCTTTCCTTATGTGCAGAGGGGGCAGCAGAATAAGGCAGCAGAACAGCTAGTAGCTGTAGCCACAAAGGTTGCTAGGATTGTGAAACACCAAGGGCAACCTTAGGCATCCTGAGGAGAGCAATGATGCAGCACGCTACACACACACCACAGCGACTGGTAGGTGTGGCTACATTGCACTAACATTGGGAGGGATTTAAAAGGTCTTGTTAAATAAAACATGAGCCTGCTTACTATATACAAAGCACACATATGACACATTTCTTGCACTTAAACAATATTCTTTAATGATTTTGCCATAAGTAACAGATACAAATAAATGTCAGCAACAGTCATTTAAAAAGGTAAACCATTCCAATGCATATGCTTTTCTGCACACAAAACAAAGATTACACTTTGTCTGAGCTTATCTTAAAAAATAACTTTATTAAAATAGTCAGGGACTACTTTGTAACCAGCAACTGTTGAAACAAGAAATATATTGATAACTACTATGTAATGTACAATATAAGGTATAGAGCGCAGGGGTGGGGAGTAAGTAACGTACAACATAGTCAACATCTGGTGCAGGGATCAGGGGTATGTAATGCACAGACTGCAGTGGTTAGGAGTATGTAAAGTACAGAAGGCTATATATAATATGCTGCACAGCATGCACTGCACTTGAACATCCTTGTCAGCTGCATTCTGTATGCTGTGTCATAAATTGCATACCACTACACTCCCACTGTACAGAGTGCAGTAGTCTAATGTACTTAACATACAGTACAGAGTGCAGTGTTTAGGCATATATACAGCCCTGCTTTCAGAGTGCAGAGTTCAAGAGTACTTCCCCAGCACCAATTTTGCCAAATTTCTCTCTCCCCCACCCCAGGCAAATATTTCCACCTAGTGACAGATTCCCCAAGTATAAGTACCCCATCTACCAGCAAAAATCCCCACTCCCACCCAGGCAAAAATCTTTCTCTTCCAAGAAATTCCACCCCAGCAAAAATCTCTCCATTCCAAAACAACTCTCCATCCATCTAGAAAACACAGATCCATGGAATGACTGCAGTAGAAGCATTGAGATCCCGCACTGCAAGTCCACGTCAGGAGGCTCTCATGTGACATAGCAGTGACATAACCAAATCTTAATGCAATGCTCAGCAATACACTCCAAATCTCCTGGGAATAACAGTTATCAGAAGCAGAGGTGGTTGTGGTCTGCCTATTGTTGATTTCACACTACAGGTATACAGCTTTAAAGATACAGAACAGGGGTGTCTGAGCTATGCCACATGTCAGAACGTGCACCGCAACTTCTCATGAGTAAATCACGACAAAAATGTGGATGTTTCAGGGTACTGCTTAGCCACACAAATCTTACTTCATATGCTTATGTTTTTACATTAGCTTTATGTTTCCTCATTGGGAGGATAAAGACCACTTGCTGAACCTTTTTAATTTATTAAAAGCTCCGGAATAGTTTAAGTCATCAATAAACTGGCAGTGGATCACATGCATCCCTTCAGTGCTCAGTGGGCACTTGCTGTGCTGTAGACCTCAATTCTGGTCTGAAACACAGCAGGCCACATACTGAGTCTCAGTGGCTCAGGAGGGATTTAGTGCTTGAACTGATGGCCGTTAATGATTGCCACGGATCATCATTAAGCCCAGTAGCTCTTGAACTTCTGATCCTGCTACAGAAGATGAACCATAGCAGCACAGTGCAACAAAATGCTTTGGTATTGTGTTTAAAGTGAAAGCCCTGTGATGTCTTTGGTGACATCTTAGGAACATCCTGAGAATTCAGATTTAGACAATGTAGGGCATGTCCAGATTCCTACCATAATTATCATTTTCTTGGTGATAACAGTGAACAATAGGTCACTATTATAAGTGCTCTATGCTTGCAGAGGTGAATGGGGGGCCAAATTAGACTCCCCCTTACCTTATAATGTAATATAAAAAAAGGGAAAACAATTATAGTGTACGTCCAGGCAAAATATTTCCTTTTTATTTTGGTTATCATGCCCTATGGAAGTATTAGCACCATTTGGGTTTCTATTTCTGTCTGAGCCTCTGTTAGAGAGATTTATCCTCACAGGCTATCATGGTGACTTTGCTATCAAAATACAGCAAGTGAAAGACAATCTTGCAACATAATTTTTTTTTTGCCCTACTTTATTGTCCCTTTTTGCACATTTTAATCAGTAGTTAATCACCTATGCTTTAGAATGTATGTAGGGCTTCTTTATTCTTAATTATATTACATGAGGCACTTCCTCTGCAATAGTTGTGTCCAACTCTCCTATCTTTATGCAAAGTCAACACGACACCTGGAGTCATCCGGAGCTCTTATAGACTAAGAAAATCCATTTCGATGGGATTGTGGCAAGTGAAGACCCAGCAATACGCACAATAAAACCAACTTCTGTGTGGTCAGGTACTTTTAGTAGGTGCAGAGAATGTCCAGTGCTTGGTAGGTGATGAGGATAACAGTTGCAGAACAGCTTGGCTGAAGTGGCGTACTGGTTTGCAGAAGCTTTTTATTGCTGAGATCTTGGTAGCTACAGCTGAGATCAAGGGAAATCAAGAACCACTCAAGGAATACTACATAGTTTCCATGGGCCGCATGTATCAAAATGCAGCTACTTCCCATTAAACACTAACCCAATCTAAACTTGGACTGATCTTAAATTTATTGGCAGCTAAGGGAAAAAACTTTAGTTCTCAGTTACGACATTTATATCGAATGGGTCCTGAGTCAAAAAAAGTCAATAAATTATTTAAAGATGGGTATTAACATACTTTTTGCAGAAAGAAAGGCATTCTCTCTACTGGCTGCTAATTTGTAAATTATATAATATTGGGAAACATACTGCACAGAAAATGCGTAAATGAAAATATGTTACATTTATTTTGCTCATCGCTTTATGCGTTATATTAACAGCACTTATTAACACTTATACAATGATACAATGTGCTTCCCTATAAGATGCCAAAAATTAATTCACTCTTCCTGAGTTTCTTCAAAAAAAGAAAAGGGAGCAAATACCAAGTAACTTACATGTGTCAGCGCTGCTTGCTCCCATCGCAGAGGTCCCGGCTTCCGAACGCTGTGAAGGAGGAAGTGTGGATGGGCGCATGCACAGTCCAGATCCCCGGAGGGGAGAGGAGGAGAGCGAAACTGAAACTCAATGGAAGAAGCCGGGAGCGCGCACGCCAGGCAGACTTCATGGGACACAGGAGACAGAAGAGTCTGCACTGGATCAGAGAGCAGCACCAGCGCTGGAGGGACTGTGGAAAACGAGTGGAAAGAAGAAGCTGTTCAATTGAAGAGGCATCACATAAGGTAGGGTCTGCCTTTAATGTCACTTTAATCTTACTGGAGTTTTGCCCTTAAGGAGTCTCTCATCAGTATATTTTCATAAAAATTATATAACCCTGTTCACTTTCAGTGTTGATAATCTCCAATCATCTAAAACGAACAAGAGAATAGTGGTTTTACAGGGCAAGAGGAAAACATCCATTACATGTGATGGGTATTGTGGCAAGTATCCCAGAATCCTGTGCCAGAATCTTCCACTACAGAACAATTCTCTAATCTGTTGTTACTCACATTATCAGAAACAGCAGAACTGTCATCAACAATCTTGTGATGACTAAAAAAGACAAAGTTGTATATTATTAAATACCACAGTTACTCATATAACACATAAATGACATTGCTTTTAAGTGTATGGCAAGGCCAATGCATTATTAAATATTATCAGTCTTTCTTTTGTTTAAAGCATTTTTAGAAAGTATTAAATATGTAAAGCATTTATTGTACGTATTTTGTCCTGGTTCTTTAGAGCCCATACAAATTACTGGAATTTATATTGATATTTCTATCTCTCTATCTATCTATCTATCTATCTATCTATCTATCTATCTATCTATCTATCTCC